AAGCCCGAAAAAACCCACAACAACCATTAGATCCCGGCCGTGAAAGCCTTCGCGAATATAGTCGACCTTCCACAGAATACAGAGTGCAGTCCTCTGAAGATGCCGGCCACAGAGACTGGCGAAACGTTAGGAAGAATAACCTTCAGAACACAGGCAAAGAGCCCGAAAAACCCACAACAACCACTAGTTTGTTTCCTTTTTTAATTCAATGTGAAATGCCTCCACAACATATACTCAGGGTGCATTACATTAACATACGTCAGTGGCAAAGCCATTTCCATTGTGTGGCTATCTTTACCTCATGAGCACTTCTACCATAGTTGGTAGCACTGAATACAGAATATCATCCAAGACCAGGAAGAGAAAATTCCTAAGATGCTAATGACAATTATAATACTAATGGTGCCGTGAAGAATGTTGATTGTATTTTGATCATAGGTTTTCCTCCATATATTATTGACTGAGCTTGTTTCGAGAGAGAGAAATGCTAGATGACCCCTTTGCTACTGAGGAAGACTTAAGGTCAAAACACACAAGGCACCCTTCACAACATGAATCATTGACTTCCCATCTCTCTTCCTTTGATCAACAACACTCCACACTTATTGTACTTATAGAGGTTAACTTAACACACTTCGAAAACACCAGGATTTAATGCGGAAGATTTCCATTCAGAGGAGCACTGACAGAAAAGAGACTTTCCCATCTGCTCTTTCTTTGAGCTCCTTCTCATTGAAACTCTCTGAGAAACCTCCTGAATGTATGGAGATGAGGGAAGAAAGGGAAGAAACCATCCCATCGTTTGTTCTTTTCCCTGGTTCAAACTCAACCGTTCTGAAAACTTGAAGAGTTGTTTATTTAGTGCTTACTTGAATATAATAAAGGATATATTTGCACCACAGTTGCTTTTAATCATGCCTTTTGCACCCTATCCAACTTCATCTGTGACTAGCCAACACAGGCAGGATTTGGCTTCCAAAGAAAATACAACAAAATATTTGAAAAACATGTGCATGAAAGTGAATTCAGCAAGAGGATATTGGTTTGACCTACATGTAACTACTTCTTCATGGATAGTTCCCCCCCCCCCAACGGTGTTGTTTTGGTTTGGTTGGATTGTTTGTTTTTAACAGAGTGATGCCAATTTATGAAATAACTTTAGAAACAGTTCAATTGTGGGAAAAATATGGAGAGCTTTTTCATAAATTGCTGTCAATGGATAGTAAATGGGGATAAGGTGGTCTTCTTAGCATGCATGGTTGCATACACCAAGGGCAGCTGTTCATGTGAGAAAAATTAATTCCTTCTGCTTAGCACACAGGGGTTTAAAAGCTATGCTCCTCTGAAGAAAAATGCTAGAGAATCTGTGTTTAACCATTTCTGAATACCAAATTCATGTTTTTACACAGTGACAATATTTTACACCTAGATAGATCTTCTTGAAACCTTTACACCATTTCTCTGCAGATGAACATGAAGCAGGTTTAGGATTAAACAGTATGAGTGATGCTCAGCTGTGTGACAGGTCATTTCCCAGCTCAGCATTTGCTGCCAGAGGCTGATTGCAATTTCCACTAACTACTCACATGGATTGGAAAAGGTCCTCAACTAACAATGAACCTCTTCTAGCCACAGATGAGCTTTTGTTGTCTTCCAAATAAAATGATACAGTGGGGTCTCTACTTAAGAACTTAATCCATTTTGGAATGGTGTTCTTAAGTTGAAACGTTCTTAAGTTGAAGCAAAATTTCCCATAGGAATGGACTGAAAACCAATTAATCCGTTCTGGCTGTTTTTTGTTATGTAGAGGTCCCATAGAAACTAATGCAAAGCTGGTTAATACGTACTCTACCACTAGGGGGAGAAATTTTTTTAACCTAAGATGACCTAAGGTTAAAAAAAGAGCAGGAAAGGTTTTTTTTTTCTTGTTCTTATCTTGGATTTCTGTTCTCAAGTAGAAGCAAAATTTAGCAAATGGAGCTGTTCTTAAGTTGGATTGTTCTTAAGTAGGGACGTTCTTAAGTAGAGACCCCACTGTACTGAAGAAAACTGAAGCCATGTATTCTGTTTGTTCAGGCTCTTGTGGAAGATTTTGCTCTCCTTAGCATGCAAGACCTTGGATTATCCGCTAGAATTTATCTATCCCATAGCCGGTATCTTCCTTGCTCTGTATGCTTCACTTAGTGTAATGCAACCCTCCACACACTGTGGCACAAAAGGTTTGATTAACTGTTTGTGTTAACAACATTAACACATTTTTTTAAAAAAATTTAAATCAATGCCATTGAGAACACAGAGCCTCAGACTGCACTGGTGATTCATTCTTTGTGACTTTCCCGCCTCTGCCCAAAGACCCAGAAGTTGCTCTACCCACTTCTCCCCTACCCACACTCCATGAGTCACAGTCTTCCCCTCAACTAAGGCACTGCCCTCACTTAAGACAAAGCACTACATCGTGCTTCACATACCGTAAGAAGTCATCCCATGTGTTGACGATACACAGAATCCGCACTTCAATAAATCAGATGTAGCTGTTGTATTGGAGCAAATAAGCCAATAATGGCTCCAGTCTGTGCAACCGACATTGATTAATCTACTTACAATTAACAATATTCAGCTTTCTGAGTTAGGGAACTTTTTTTATATATCCTGCTGCAGTCTAAAGACTTATAAACTACCTGATGGCTATTCAATTTGAAGTTTCATGCCTTGTTAAAAACAAACAGTTACATTTCACGGACTCAAGAAACCTGGTTTCTTTCTTGGATATTATCCTGCTGCAGTCTAAAGACTTGTAAACTACCTGATGCCTATTCAATTTGAAGTTTCCTGCCTTGTTAAAAACAGTTACATTTCATGAACTCAAGAAACCTGGTTTCTTTCTTGGATAGCCTGACTCAATGCCATTGCTGGAAAACTCAGTAGCCTGTTTGATATGGAGTTACTACATCTCAGCCCTTCTCTCTTCTCCTGACAGGAAACAGTGGCCTTGAGTGGCTGTACAATGCTGATGAAAGTGGTCCAGTGAAGAAGATCTCTCCACATTGAATCTGTTTCTGTACAATGCTGATGAAAGCAGTCCAGTAAAGAAGATCTCTCCACATTGAATCTGTTTCATTTTGGAATACTGACTGCTATGAACATGAACACGCCCGTAGAGTAACGTTCAGCACATAATTCAAGTGATTGTTAGGATTTGTCATCAGCAAAATATAGCTTTTGGGTAAAGGAAGTCTTCGTAACATATGAAGGTCTCAGGCCTTCTTCCTAACATCAGACCTTGAGAAATTGGGGCTGGTCAGGGCTGAAACATTTAAACAAAATCCCTATTTTCTATTGCAACCTTGCTATTTTTAAGTACGGCAAATAATAGTTACAAAATAGTTACTTGTAATTAATTCCTTGTTGCAGTAACTGTAACACAACTAAATTCCATTATGTCATCAAGAGTTAAGTCCCACTTTCCAGTGTAACTAACATTTTAGCTAGTTTTGCAGTCGGGGGCTATGGCTTCTGTAACAATAACAGTGCCTAATTAGAGAGATTTAGAAGAAGGGGGCATTAAAAATGGTATATCTTTGCTATCGTCTGAAGTGGTGCCATCCAATTCTAACATCTCATTCTTTTTGTTTCAGCAGACACAGCTTTAGACCCATCATATCAATTCGTAATAGAGCATTATGCAGTACCATATACGTATAGATAACTGGAATTTGGAGCTATTACAAAAATCAGAGCTCAAAAACATTAACACTGAGCAGCTGGTTTCACTTTAGTCACAGCAGGCCACCTGTCTGTCTACTGAGGCTCCACTTGGCTCTTTTATAAACTCCACATAAAGTGCCTGTGGTGTCAGCAGTCAAATTCAATGTCATGACTATAATGACCTCAACGTTAAATGGTAAGCAGCTTCCCACTCTGCCGAAACAGAGCAACTTAGCAAGACAGAAAAGAAATCATTTATGACAGTGTCTGCCCTTGATTTAACACTCAAGGCTTGATTCTGTTGAAAGGGCAATGATGGGACACAGACGCCTGACTTACATCATCAAACCACTGCTTTGTCTAGACAAAATTTCTGCTCTGCCTGGTGGGAACCCTCTAGGATCTCAATAAGGATTCATCCTAAACTGCCAGACCAATTACCTCAGAATTGGGGAACCTTCCACCTTCCAGATGCATCTCAACTATTACTTCCAAAGTGCCTCATAACTGGCTAGGATGGCAAAGGCTGATGGGAACTGTCGTTTGCAAACATCTGGAGAGACAGTGATGCCCCAGTCCTATTTTACCTCGATTACCTTTTAAAACTGGAGACAGCAAATAACATGGAACCATCTGTATGCAAAAACACCTCCTCGATCAGTGAGGCACCACTTTCTGTCCTGTGTGTTGTGTTTACTGCCTCCTTTTTCAGAATCTTTATTCAGGTTAGATAGAGCCACAGTGTCCTTCATGGAAAATGTCTGCCAAGTTTCCAAAGGGAAGAGATTTCGTGCCCTGTTATAGCCTAGTGTGATGCATCTGTTCAGGATGCGAAGGGCTGGGGATGAAGTATCTGGAGTGCTTTCCAATTTAAAAGCAAGGACTGAAGGAGCAAATGAAAGAGGGATGGATTCTGGTCCATTTACCTGCAGTTTCCTTCTCGCCTGTTGCTAGTTCTCCATTGATCCCATTCTCTTTGGTTCTGGAATAGGAGCTCTGTGGTCCACGTGCGCCATATCCTCCATCTTCATCCTCTCTGTATGGAAATCCATTGGCACTTCTGACCAGTCCTTCCCCTGTGCCACTTTGCTCCTTGATCTCTGGGGAATGACTGTGTGAAGAAGCCTCAGCTATTTGACTTGAAGTCCAGTGTGGTGCCTTAGCTTCATCTTTCCTGTCGTCAGCCATGTTTCTGGTCCGTTACAATTTTTCCTGCAATGAGAAATCAAAGGAAGTTTGCTCATGAACTGAATAGGGATTTTTGTGCAGATACAGACATCTTCCTAAAGGTAGTTCTGGAATTCATTAAATATTATGAAGGAGTATGGAGACATATCATTTGGAAAGAAATAAATGCCATCTTCAGAGTACAAAAGAAAAATTAAAGCCCACGAATTTTTGCAGTTTACTTTGATATTTGCATGAAGCAACCAAATTGCCCAGTATATTGTTGATGCTGATATAAATTTTTGTTCTGCCCTTCTTCTGAATCTATATGGAATTATCCCACTTAATTTTCACACAAATGTTTAAGATGGATTAGAGGTTAAGTGATATCACCCAATGAGTGTTATGGCAGAGACAGAATTTGATCACTTAAGTGCTTCCTTTCCTATGAGTCAGTAGGGATGTTTTGTCTCTTCAAGGTTTCAAGTAGTCTTCTCAGCTATGCTACCTGAGATCTTTTGAAATGGAAATCCTGTTGGTTGAACCAGGGACATGTATGAATCCATAGATTAGTTATCCTTTTACTATAGCTGTAATCATCCCATGTTTCCACTAAAAATTCCTAACATTTTCAAATCTTATTTCAAAATACCTTTTCACATGAATGGGTAATTCCTGCTTTTGAGCAACAATATTTACTATCTTCAAGTTGGTCAGTTAGTGATGTGTGCCTCACAGCTTCTCACTCTTGGAGAGAAACCAAAGAAAACTCACTCTTTTCTCCTCACAGGAAGATTTCTCTCTGAACTATACATATTTTTTTTCCTGAGCTGTTTTTCCCACCTGAGAAATCTTGTGTGAAATCTGATGGGGATTATCAGGAAGTTGCACGCCCACTATTTTGAGAAAAATGCCAGGCAACACGGGACTTCTACAATTCCTATGCAGAAGGGCATACTTTTGTGACAAACAGTTGTTGTCTGGAGAGGAGAGAAGAAACACCAAACTACACAGGACTAAAAAAAACCCCACAATTCCTATTTAGAATGGCATCTTTCCTATGCAGGATTCACTTAGAAGGATTCTAAACTATGCAGAAATTGGCAATTTTCCTATCAAGAATGCTGTGGAGAAAAAATGGTGGGGAGGGAATCCAAAATACCTCAGTGATGCAAGGGAAGTCTTGGAAGAGAGCTTCAGCACAGCAAGATTTGGAAAAGCATCAAGAATAACAGATTTTGTGAATACTAGTCCACTTCTAATCAATATGTGGTGCATTTTTCAGTAGTACTGTATCTAAAAGATGAAACTGGCTCGGTATGCTTAAAAGAAGGTTAGTGAAAGGAATGTAGACGAAATTATTCTCATGTCATTTGAAGAACACTTTTCCAGTTCAGAATGCCAGAAAAATATCTGGAGTGAGTCACAGTACCTGTTTCCCCCTCACCCCCATTGCATGAGGAAATTGCTACCTACTTAGAATATATTTCTGAATGCTTAACTGATAAGCAAAGAACAAATGACAGGTCCAATCATTTATAATTACTAGTAAAAAATTACATTAATAACAAATAATTTTACTCATTAACTGCACAGCTGCTCAGCAGGCACATAATTTTCTGTTGGTGGCTATGTTAAACAAGATCAGTTTTAGAAGGTTAATGTGCATGGGAAGAAAGGGAAATGGAAAAAGCAAGCTGTGGAACATGTTTGCAAATGATGAATTCAAAGATGTACCAAAAGTCAACCTACCCTTTTCAATAAAGAAAAATATTTTCTTTTCAAAAATGCCATGAAGCTACTTAAAATTATTTGCTTCTGTGGTCACTGTGAAAACCCATTCTCCCCCTTTTGTACTCTTCACTACTTGTTACACCATATTACGAAGTTTGACAGCACAGATACTCTTCTTCTTGAAGAATATGGTTTGTATGAAGACATATCTGGCAATGCCAATCTCCTATTCAGGAACAAAAAATGAGAGTTTGAAGAAAGCATTTGAATTTATCCTTATGCCCTTGCACCCCAAGTGTTCAAATGACTATCCCTCTATGCAGATCTACTTCAGCAGTCTTTCCTAAGTACAACACAAAGTGGTAGGTGCACCACCTTTTTGGTAATGCAAACCTTTGTGCTTGTAGAAGCAGGACTGTATCCAAAACACAAATAGATAATACTGTGGCAAACCCCATTCCCTTGACAATATTCCTTAGCAGACTACACTACCTGTAATTCTTTCTTCCTTCCTTCCTTCCTTCCTTCCTTCCGGATTCTACTGAAATAATTTAAGGAGAATTTTATCTCCTTATATATTTTTTTTGTTCCTTACAAAGTAAGAACAAAAAGGCTTTTCAAAAATTCTACATTAAAGACTTATTTAAATAAATAAAGTTTTGGCAATTTGGTCTTTATTTGCATTTTTATCATCTCTCTTATTATAAATGCAATTAAAATCCCTGTACTTCTTATTATACTGAGCTTCTGCAGAGATGGAGAGAACAAGAGAAAATCCAGTATTCAGTCAGAAGATTTACTACTTTCCAAAAGAAAATCCCAATTACCCCAGCATGAGCAGGTATTTTTGCAGAATGTATCAGCTTTTTTGGGTACTTCCTAGTAATTAAATTAAACATCTGAAAGGAAACCCAAATGTCATGTAGTGCTTCTTTCTAGAAAAATAAAGCAACAGGGACATTATTCAGTAGAACAGTGGTTCTTAACCTTGGGTTACTCAGCTGTTTTTGGACTGCAACTCCCAGAAGCCTTCACCACCAGCTATGCTGGCTGGGGTTTCTGGGAGTTGCAGTTCAAAAACACCTGAGTAACCCAAGGTTAAGAACCACTGCAGTAGAAGACTGAAGATATTACAGCGATTAACAGGGTGAAACCCGTAAGAGGGAGAAAGCTAATAAAGGGAATTTTAATTGCTGGGAGAAACGGGGTATTTATATTTGTATGGTGAGTGTTGTGTATATTTTTAACTTTTTTTTTGTAGTGGTGTTGTCCAGTTTTACCTTGGGGAAGAGCACCTCATTTCGTTGCACCCACTTGTGAGTGCAATGACAAATAAATTTCTTATGTCTTATGTCTTATGTCTTATGAATACTGTACATTCAAGATTAAACTGCCCCACATCCAAAGAGGGCTTTATTGAAAGCTTCAGGAGAATTTTGAAAAATAAAAGATGCCCCCGAATACTGTAACTGATAAAACGGGCTGTGGATGCTACAAGAAATTCAAGAATGTTTGAAGCCTCTAGCTATTAGATTGCAATTAATCGGACTTTTCTTTAGCCCAGTTCTTCAATTGGCTGTTCTCATTGACATAAACAGCAGGATAAAGAATTGCTATTTAAATGCTCCTGCATGTATATGCTCCATATGCGAGATTATGAAGTCCCTCTTGTCTGACTATGGGCCAAAAGTGCCAATCCGTCAGAACATCTCTGCCCCCCCTCCATTAAATACAAGTGAATATTCTTCTTATGCGTTTATTCTTCATAGTATCACAGGTGCGCTCAAAAGCAGAAAACGCCAAACTAATAGAGCCAACCAGGCTGAAGGCTTTTTTAAAGTACAAAACACTATCCAGAACCTGCTTCTACTGAAAAGTACAAAATAAGTAAGAGGAGACACCTATTGCATAGCACAACTCATGAGTAAAGAAGCAACACTGGATATACTCTCTTTTCACCCAATCTAACATTCAGATCTGACACATCCAATGGATACTCTTTGAAGTCTCTATTAAAGGGTCTTTTGAAGCCTCTGTATCTTTAGCCTGCTCCCATAGTTCTGAACCTCAGCAATAAGGATGTAAACTTGTTTATTCTCTGAGAGGCTTAAAAAAATTGTGGCACTCTCAGCAGAAAAAAAAAGACGCTCTTTTTTTTGCACATTAAACAAAACTGAGCAAAATAATGCTTTACCTCAAATTATGCTTTAACAAATGCAACAAAATCTGCCATGTAGTAACTTGAAATCTCAGGCTACTAGATCTCAATAGCGTTTAAAGGTTTTTAAAGTTCTGAAGCATGGGATTGTTCGTGCCCTTTTAAAAATCAGCAGTGAATTAACTGCATGTTGTCTGAAAGCCCTACATTCATTACTATGGTTTTATGAAAAATTCATAGCAATTTTCACTAGTTGTGAGCTGAGTGAGAGAAATAAAGAGGACAGAAAGGTGAAAAGAGAGTGATTGCTCCCTTAATTTTAATTGCAAGAACCAAGGGTACGTTTCACGGATCGGGTGGGGGTGGGGAGGAGGAAAATGGCACATATTTGCCTTGAGGGAATAATTCTCCTGGTTGAAGGACAAAAGGTGACGCATGTCAATCACATAAAATCACTACCCACTGTGCCCTAAACCTACTTAATAGGTTTTGTGCAAGAATGTATAGAGGATCAAAGGATTAATTAAAATCTTCTGAGTTTGAATCTGGGCTGTAGCTTCTGTTCCCTCACTGGACTAGAGAGCTTATCTGGCGGTCCCAGCCCCCCCTCCCCCAGTTGCCATAGCTCATCTCCTAGGTTACCTAGCTCATCTCATTTTGTTAGAAAATTGGCATTTCTGCTCAATGTGAATACTTATCCTTGGTGCTATTTAAATTATGCATTTATTTCCTTATCTAGTTTCCAAGACTACATTTAAAAACTAAGAGTTGCACTTCTCTCCTGAGCATTCAGGTAGCTGTCACAAGGCCATTAAGTCTCCCTTGTTACTGAAGGATTGGGCTCACTCTACACAACACACTTGCCAACCCTTAATTCTTTTCTGCTCTTTACATTTCGGCATTTTGTAGAACTGTCTTATGCGGGTGCTTCAGTTTACTAACATAATTCATCCACTAGTGATTTGGGAGTCCTGTAAAATACTAATACTAATATTATTACATGCTGTCAAGTCACTTCTGACTAATGGCGACCTTAATCAGATTTTTTAGGTATGTGGGATGTTCATGGATTGGTTTACCGCTGTCACCTCTCAGGGAGTTTCCATGGCTGAGTAGTGATTTGAACTCTGATCTCCCTAGTCCTAGCCGGATA